AATCATGCCTGATAGATCTTTAGCACCAATCTGAGTGAGAAAGTAAGACAGAGAAAGGGCACAGAAACAGTGATGGAGAATGTGAACAAGAGCAAGAGCAGATAGAAACATATAAAAAGAACAGATTAAAAGGAAAGTGGGTGACAATTTGTGTGAGACAACAAGAGAGACAGAGAATGAGTGAGAGATAGTGAATGAAGGATAGAATGTAAAAATGAAGAACTGTAGGAAAGGGAGAATAAAAGTTAGATTAAACAATCACAGTATTGCAGCACCATTCATGCCAGTCAAATATTTATCCTCAATATAAAGCAATAATGAATGTTAATCAGTGTGAGAATGTTAAAGGTGCAGAACTAGCCTGGCTAATGAAAAGAAAACAGGTAAAAAACGTGATGACCTCTGCTAGGCCGTGAAATATCATTCAAAATGACCACATCATTCATTTGTAGGTCAGGAATGGCTGAGTGTGAAAGGATGATGGAGCACCTGGTAAGTCAACCACAGTCCTCCCATTCAAAGATGAACTTGGAAAAGACCAGTTCTGAAGAAGGGCTGGATCTGAAACATTAACTCTACTTTCTCCCCACAGGTTGTTTCTCCAGCCATTTTTGTTCATGTTTGAAAGGACTAAAATATGCACTTTTCCCCAAAATCTAGATGACTTGACTGCTGAACCATTCTGATTAAAATTGTACTTTGACGTCTTTTATTGTTCATTCTCAAAATGTTAGTGTCACTGGCAGGACCAGCATTTATTTTTCACTCTTTATTTTAAGGTTATGGCTCTAGTGATTTTATGCAATAGGGAAGCTGGTTAGACCACATCAAAAGCAGTTAAGAGTTCTTTTCAGTCAGAAGCCACATGTATAGGCCAAACTAGGTAGGGAAGGCAGATTTCGTTTCCTAAAGGACATTCGGGAACTTGTTGGGGATTTATGACAATCTGGCAGCTTTATTGTTCATTTTATAGGTGCCACCTTTTCTTTCTAGATTTTTAAGACTGAATTCAGACAGTCTAGCTGGCATTCAGGGATTTGAATTTTTATTCTCTGGATTATTTGTTAAAGATTCTGAATTACTAGCACTTAACATAATACATGTGCATTTGAGTTCTGTTCTTAAAATTGTACATTCAAGATATGAAAGTTAATGGAAATGTATACTTTGCTTTTGAAACATAAGACTTAGGAATAAGCCATTTGGCCCTTCAAGCCTTCCCCATCATTCAATAAGATCATGGCTGATCTGATTGTGGTCTAATCTCCACTTTCCTGTTAAATCCCATAATCCTTGATTCCCTTGTCTAACACAATCTATCTAATTAAACCTTGAATAAATTTAATGAACTTAGCCTTCAATACCTTTTCAGAATGAGAATTTCATGTTCTAATACCTCCTCTGAGATTTGTTTTCTTCATCTGTTTTTTTATAGGGAGACCTGTTATTCTTGAGCTTTGCCCTTGGTTTAGTTTTCCCCACCAGAGGAAACATCCTCTGGGGTTACATTCAGTCAGATCACTAATGGGAACAGGCATAACCTACGGGTATAGGCCCAACCGACTCAACCTTCCTTCATAACACAAGATCTTCATTCCAGAGAAGAATCAATTGCACCTTCTCTAAAATGCTTCTAAAGCAGTTTTATCTTCTTTCCAATAAGGAAACCAAATCTATACATAGCACTCACCAATGTCCTGCACATTTGCAATAAAATATCCCTTAAAATATCTAAATCTTCCTGGCTTTTCTGTTGCATTTCCATTACAATAAATGGCACACATGGCATAAATGTTCTTTCCTAATTACTTCAGGTACCTGCACAGTAATTTTCTGTGATTCATGCACCAGCATACCCAGATTCCTCTACACCATTGAGTCCTGCAATCTCTCTTTATTTAAATGAATTTCTGTTCCTGGTGAAAAAATGGATGTGTTCTCACTTACCATTGTTGTACTCCGTCTGCCAATTTTTTGCCCATTCATTTAACGTAACTATGTCCCCTTGCAGGCTCTTTCCTTCTTCTGACAACCTACTTACACATTTTGTTGTCATTGGCAAATTTAGCTACCTTATATTTGGTCCGCCCATAAAAGTCATTCATATAAATTACAAATAGTTGAGGAACAAGCACTGACCCCCCGGCACTCCACTAGTGATGCCTTACCAACCCAAAAATCACTCATACATCCCTACTCTCTGCTTCCTATTATCTAACCAATGGTCTATCCATGCTGATATCTTATCCCCTACACCATGTGTCCTTACCTTGTGAAGCAACATTTTATGTGGCACTTTATCAAATGCCTTTTGGAAATGCAAGTAAACCACATTGACTGGTTTCCCTTTATTCATCAAGAATGTTACTTTGTCACAAAACTAATAAATCAGTTTACTCATTTTTCCTTTCATAAAACAATATTGATTTTGCCTAACCAAATTTGACTCTCTCAGAATCCTGCTTTAGCCTCCTTAAAAATGGTGCTTAGGGCCTTCCCTAAGACAGATATAACATAGTGTGGAGCTGGAGGAGCACAGCGGGTCAGGCAGCATCAGAGAAATAGGAACGTTGACATTTTGGGTCAGGATCCTTCTCCAGAAAGGGGGAGGGGGAAGGGAGCTCTGAAATAAATAGAGAGAGGGGTGGGGCTGGGGAAGGTAGGTGGGATGGTGATAGGTGAGTGCAGGTACGAGGTGGTGGGGATTGGTCAGTCAGGTGGGAGGAGTGGATGATAATTTAACTGGTCTACAGTTTCTAGCTGTCTGCCTCCAGCCTTTCTTAAATGAAGATTTTACATTCTCTATTTTTTGATTCGCTGGGACGCTTCCAGTTTAAAAGTAGGTTTAGAAGATTGTAACCAATGCATCTACTTTCTGTGCTTCCAAAGATTCTAGATTGCAGGTGCTCTAGTCCTTGTTGCCATTATGCTAAATAATTTTTTTTAGCATTTTTCCCCCGGTGATGGTGATTGTTTTAGGTAATTCCCTCCCTAATATCTCTTGTTCTATATGTGATGTTTCCATGTAAATACTTGGACGATGCAAGGTGAAATAGATGGACTTCACTCTTCTTTTTATGGTAATTTCCATGATTCCTCTGCTACATCACTTGCACTGCAGCTGCTGATTCAAGCTGATAACCTATTAAACTTGATCCGAAACAGAGAAAGAAGTGCCCTTAATGAAGATGCACAGACAAACAGGGTTTAGGTTTAGTTGTGGAAAGCAGCAAGATTCAGGGCTCAGTACGAGTGACCAATGGGAATCAAGATTCAGTATGGGCCATCAGTGGGGGCCAGGGTTCAGTGTGAGCAACCAATGGACATTAAGGATTAGTATGGGAAACTAATGGGAGTTAGGGATTACAATGGATGCCAATGGAAATCAGAGCACTATAGCGACATCCAGTGATCATCAGGCCTTTAGCCTAGGTGGCTAGCTTAGGAAAGATATGATGTTCTCAGGGTTTTTGGTCTGACAGCATGAGTAAAGGCTTTGGATCAAAAATTTCAGCAGGATTCATTGCTATGGATCAGAAATCTTACTGTCTATGCTTGTTGGCTTCTACATTTACTGACTAGAAACTTGAATTAATTGAAGTGAATTAACAATTAAGCTTTAGCAAGTGTAGGGAACTTTTTCCATTTCCCACTTTGTGGGAAAAATTGGGTGAATCCTATTCGATCAAAAGTATAGGAAAGCCCCAGTGTTGGTACATCAGTGATCATATATCTTCAGTGCAACTGCTGTCTGCGAATCAATGATAACGCTAACTGGTTACTTATTTAGTTAAAAACAGAAAATGTTGGAAATATTTGGCAGGTCTGGCAGCAATCATACTTTTTTTAACCCAACCTTTTGCTTCTTTACTTTATCATCTTTACTTTACTTTATCATTGCAATATAGTTTTCCTTGTATTTAATCTGCTTTGTCTTTCAACCCATCACATAGTTTCCCTTTCAATCATGCCACACTAACATCCCCCATTCCCACTAGCTCCCTGCCACCTTTGTCTGCTTTCAAACTTCCTTAAAACAGAGATGAAGAAGAATTTCTTCTCTTAGAGTATAATTCTTTGCCACAGAGGGCTGTCGTGGCTGGGTCATTAAATATATTCAAAGTTGAGATAGACAGATTTTTAATCCATAAGGGAAACAAGGTTTATGGAGAAAACGCAGTAAAGTGGTCTTGAGGATAATCAGATCAGCCATGATCTTGTAGAATAGTGGAGCAGATTCAATGGGCTGAACGGCCTACTTCTGTTTCTATTTCATATGGTCTTATATCTCTGAAGAGTCATATTGGACTTGAAACATGAACTCTTTCTGTCTCCATGGATGCTGCCAGACCTTCTGAGTTTCTCCAGCACTTTCCATTTTTATTAAATCTCTTCAGTTCTGATGGAAGGTTATTGACATGAAATATTTATACTGTTTCAATTTTCAACAATGCTGCCAGGCCTGCTGAATATTTCCAGAATTTTCTGTTTTTGTTTCAGATTTTCAGCATCAAGAGTATATTGCATTTTTTAATGACTGGTCCTTTATTTATTCATTGATTTACCTTGACTCAGCTCCTGCAGTGAACTTCACAATTGCCGATTCCTAGTATGTGTTGCATCCACTTTCTAAGCAATAAATTAGCAAACCTTGCTCAGCACTACTAAAACAAGCAGCACTGTTGGTGTACTATCCATGTGTTGACAGAGAGGATGGATTCTGTCTTTTCATATCAGCCTTGAATTCCTACGACAGATCAGGAGCTGAGGACTAAAATGTAGCATTCCTACTAAAACATTACTGCAAATGAGGCCTTTATGGCATGCAGTTGTCAAAACATTCAACAAATTCATTTCACTTAAACCAACAAATCTGATGATAGCCCTTCAAATGAGAGACAGAAAGATAGGAGAGGAAGTTTCTTCAGTTACAGGTTCTTTTTGGTGGAGGGATTGAAATAAAAGAACAAAATTTGACCCAGTTATCAGTGGTCTTGAATTCAAACAGGAGCCATTTCATCTTCCTCCTGAAGGACAGGTAGAGAGTGGACAGATCTGTGCTGGAGTTGACCAGAGACAGTTTGCAAAGGAATAGTGTCAGAGGAATCTAGGATAAAGGGTAAAAAGAGAGAAAATAAAAAGAGAGAAAATGAGAAAGCAGATCAGGACAAGTTAAGTGAGACAATATGATTTTCTTTCATTTACTTTTAATTTTACTGAAGCTTTACTCTTTTTTTCTGATATTTTATGTTCTGAAGCTGAAATGCAGATTCACAGGGACTAGTAGCCTTCCACAACCTCCCTTATCAGGCCAAATGATTGTTGAGAGTGTAATTATGGTATGTTCTTGTACTTTGCAGACTACATACACATATATAAGGACACATAAACATATGTGCACACCCATGTGATGACACACACGTACATAACTCGAAATAACTGTGCTGACTTTTTAAAATTAATTCCTTTTGCTCCAGCTGCTGATTCAGATGAGACCAGATAACGACAATGAGCTGATTGAAAGCTCAGAGATTCAACTGTAGTCACAGCCCCAGGGCACCTCAACCAGAAATATTTCAATTAGCTACAACAGCACAGAGGAGGAAGATAAACACTGATGGGACACTGATCTAATTTTGAAACACGTAAATCAAAATAACTGCAACAAAAACTTCCATTTAAATAGCACCCATAATGTAATAAAGTTATTCACAGGAGCATTTTAAGCAGGGGATTACATACAGCTTATCACTTTTAATTGTGTTATGAAATAATGAAAGAAAATCATTTCATTAAAATCTCCTAACTTAATCCTTAACATTTGGCATAATCTCTGCAAGCATGCTAGGAGAAACTAAGTGAATGACAGATGAGCGATGACCTATTGGAGTAACAGTACACGTTCAAGAGGCTGAATGGCATACTCCACTTCCTATGAATTTAAAGGAGTGTTACTTGATTCATAACTCAACATGGAGTTAGGTGGTCTACAAGGATGTGTGTCAATTCCTACTGGTCTTTGGTGAGGTGCATTTCTCTCTTTTTCCTTGTAACCCTAGCTGATGGTTGTTCTATCTCTTGTGTATTGTGCAGCTGATTTACACCCTAAATGTTAGCCAGTCCTTTCTCTTTTGTTAAAATTAATTTAGCAGGCATCGCTGGCATTTCCTGCTTAATCCTTATTCCTCGTGTTCTTGAACCACTGTAGCCCTTATTTAAAAATGCTCTCAGGTGCTGTCAGGTGCAACAGAGAAGATCACTGCTTGTAGTTGGAGTAACATGACTGCTTATCAGCTATTTACCAAGTCTGCCTAATGTCCTGGCCTTGCTGCATGCATGCATGGACTGCTACTTTATCTTCAGAATTTCACATAGAGCTGAACACTATGCAATCATCAGTGAACAATATAACATCTGATTTTTGTAATGGATTAGTGAGTGTTTCCTGCAATTTCTTTTATTATACCAGCGAGGAAGATGACTCAGGGGCCTTTATAAGCAGCTAGAGTGGAATCTGTTATACAAGGTATTAACAGTGCTGGTCGACTTTATTTCAAGGGAGTTTTGGGAAGGAATTTGCTGTTCCCTAAATTAAGAAGGAGGAAGTAAAAGGCAGGAACTCTGTGATTTAAAAAACACACTAGGGCTCTTAGAAGTTTCAGGCAAATGGGTCTCCTCATTCATACACTGAGGAAATTTTCTACATAATTTGATTGTCTTGCCTGAAAAATTAATTTCCATGAATTCCATGACACCTGTCAACATCCAGTATCCTTGGCCAAAGTCCAAGCTACAAGGTGCAAAGATTTCATTGTTTGATTTAATTTCTTTGGCTCTTGTCTATGCTTTCCTTCTGAACCTTTAATACAGGAGGAAGGTGTCTTCATAGATATATATTTTGGAAGAGGTGTTTTAATACTCAGGAAACTCATTGCTCACCTCCTGGCATCTCTGTCAGTTCGTTGAGTGGTGGAACATTATCCAAAGTGTTGGCGTACCTCTTTGCAGCCTGACGCTGGGCATAGCGTGCTTCAATCTCCTTCTTTGTTCTGGGGATTCGGCACTTGAAGATGCAGCACAGTACAATTACTGGAAAGAAACAGAAAGGTCTCATGATTCTCTAAGGATCTTGGTGATCTCCATGTACAGGTTGCCTTGTTTCTGAGTTAGAGAGTCAAAGCGTCAAGTCTCACTTGACGAACAAAGAAAAAGTCTGGGCAGCCATTCCAATGCAATGCTGAGGGAGTGCTGTACTGTTGGTGCTACAGTCTATCTGAAGGAAATTGTGAATGTAATGTTCCCAAGGGGGAGTTTTTAAGGAGAATGATAAAAGAGGATTGCAAGTTAAAGAAGCAAGGTAGTATCAGGGAGGAATTCAAGATTCTAAGCCTAAATAACTGATGTGATGGCCAAATGAGGTGATTACAAATGGGACAACTCAAGATGAGTGCAGATCTTTGCGAAATTTTTGGGGTTGGAACAGATTATATAAAGAGGGAGGGGTGAGATTGCGGAGGGGTTTGAAAACGAGGATCATAAATGTAAAATCAAGTTGTTTCTTGACCAGGAGTTCATATTAAACATAGAGGATAATAAGTGAATGGGATTTTGTGCAAGTTAAGACATGTACTGCAGACTTTTGAGCATGACGCCAAGTTTATGGAGGGTTGAATGTGAGAGGCCAGCCAGTATTTCGCTGGAATAATCAGATGTATTATATATATAAGATATAATCAGATAATGAATGAGGGTTTTAGCAGCAAAGGCTGAGAGAGGTGTGAAGTTGGGTAATGTTACTGTTGGGGAAGTAGCTGGTCTCAGTGAGGAATATGTGGTTGGAAGTTTATCTCAGGGCCGGATCACCAAGGTTGTACTCAGACTGCTTTAATCTCAAATAATTGCCAGGGAGAGGAATGGAATCAGAATCTAAGGAATGGAGTTTGGAGAATGGTTCTGAAAACTATAACTTTAGTTTTCCGAATGATTAATCAGAACATTTTCTACTCAGTCATCGCTGGATATTAAATGAGTAGAATAATAATTGAGAGATAGCAGAAGAATTGTCCCAATTGATGCTGCAGCTTGATTGGTCTGCTTCTTGACCAATAGGAGTTCAGGCCTTTCAATAAGGCTGACTTCCTAGCTGGAAATCTGTTGGGGGATAAAGAATGTGTACAATGGAATTAAAACTCCAAAGTATATTGGGTACCTGCCATCCTACCTAAAAAAAAACCACTGAAAATATCCAGGCTATTGACCCTGTTACTTACAGGAAGGTGGGCCGTGTGTGACTGTGGTTAAAAACATGTTGAGAACCAGAATCCTTAACTAAGGAAAGATATACTGGCATTGGAGGCAGATTAGAGAAGGCTCACTAAGTTGATCCCAGGGATGGAGGGACTGTGTTATGAGGAAAGGTCAACTAGGTTGGGTCTGTGGTCAGTGGAGTTTAGAAAATGAGAAGTAACCTTATTGAAACATACAAGATTCTTCGTGGACTTGATAGGATAGATGTGGAAAGATTGTTTCCCCTTGTGATGCAGAGTAGGACCAGAGGGGCACAATCTCAGAATAAGGGTGGCCCATTTAAAACAGAGATGAAGGGAAATCTTTTGCCTCAGAGGATAGTGAGTCGTGGAACTCTTTAGTTTAGAGGGCTCTGGAGGCTGAGCCATGAAGTATATTCAAAGCTGAGTTTGACTCATTTTGAGGTTGTAGATTTGCTCGCCAAGCCGGTGTGGTTGGTTGTAGACATTTCATCACTCTGCTAGGCAACATCATCAGTGCGCATCCGGTGAAGCGTTGGTGTTCTGTCCCGCTTGTTATTTATATGCCTTGGTTTGCTGGGGTGGATGGCATTACTTCCGGTTCTGTTTTTCAGTGGTTCGTATATCGGATCCAGTTCAATGTGTTTGTTGATGGAGTTCCGGTTGGAATAACAGGCCTCCAGGAATTCCCTGGCATGTCTCTGTTTGGCTTGTGCTATTATGGATGTGTTGTCCCAGTCGAATTCGTGTCCTCCTTTGTCCGTGTGTATTGAGACCAGTGAGAATTGGTCGTGTCTCTTGGTGGCTTGTTGGTATTTGTGTATCCTTATTGTCAGTTTTCTTCCAGTTTGGCCAATGTAATGTTTTTCACAGTCCTTGCACAGTATTTTGTATATTCCGCTAGTTTTATTGGTTATGGGTATGAGGTCATTTACGTTCATCAGTAGCTGTTGCAGGGTAGTTGTTGGTTTGTGGGCCACCCTGATACCTAGGGGTCTGAGCAGTCTTGTGGTCATCTCTGATATGTCTCTGATGTACCGTAGGATGACTAGTGTGTCTGGTTGTGTTGTGTCTTCTTGCTGTGATCTGTCATGGAGATAACGATGGATTGTGCTTTTTGGGTAGTCATTCCTTTTAAAACTCTGTATAAGTGCTCCTGTTCTGTTTTGCACAATTCCGGATTGCTGCAGTGTGTTGTGGCCCATTTGAATAATGTTCTGATGTAGCTCTGTTTATGGGTGTTGGAGTGATTGCTGGAGTAATTAAGTATCTGGTCTGTATGTGTGGTCTTTCTGTATACACTAGTCTGGAGTTCCCCGTTGTTCTGACGTTCTACCACTGTGTCTAGGAAGGGTAGTCAGTTATTGTTCTCTTCTCCTTTTTTGAACTTTATCCTGGTGAGGATGTTGTTTACACGTTGGTGGGCTTCTTCTAGCTTTGTGCACTTGATAATCACGAAGGTGTCATCTACATAGCGGACCCAGAGTTTGGATTGAATAGTGGGGAATGCTGTTCATTCTAACCTTTGCATTACTGCTTCTGCAATCAATCCTGATATTGGGGATTTGTTTGAATATAAGGTCATTGAAGGTGAAGTGGTTGTGAGGCACAGATCCAGCAGTTTCAGGGTGCTGTCCTTGTTGATGCTGTAGGTGTCATGGGGTCCCTGCCTTCCTGATTCATCCAGCAGTGTGGCAGTTGTCTCTTTGGCTAGGTCAATGTTTATGGATGTAAATAGTGCAGTAAACACCAATTCTCACTGGTCTCAATGCACATGGACAAAGAAGGACACGGACACTAAAGGACACAAATTCAACTGGGACAACATATCCATAATAGTACGAGCCAAACAGAGACACGCCAGGGAATTCCTGGATGGCCGACATTCCAACCGGAACTCCATCAACAAACACATTGAACTGGACCCGATATACAAACCACTGAAAAACAGAACCAGAAGTAATGCCAACCACCTCAGCAAACCGAGGCATATAAATAACAAGCGGGACAGAACACCGATGCTTCACTGGAGGAGCACTGACGATGTTACCTAGCAGGGTGATGAAACGTCTGCAAACAAACCCACCGGCTCGGCGAGGAAGTCTACGCCCTCATCCACAACCCGAGCTACAAATCTTCTCGAAACCTTTAGACTGATTTTGGTCCAGTAAAGGAATTAAGCATTAGTAGATGTAGAGAGAATGTTTCTTCATGTGGGGCAGTCTAGATTGAGAGGTCATTGTTTTAGGATGAGGGGGAGCAGATTTAAAATGGAGATGGGGAGAAATTACTTTTTTCAAAGGGTATTGAATCTCTGGTATTCACTACCCCAGGGTGCAGTGGATGTAGGAAATTGAGTAAGTTTAAGGAGGCGATAGACTGATTTTTTACTCGTAAAAGTTTGAAGGGTTATGGAGAGTGGGCAGGAAAGTGGGGCTGAGGTTGACATGAGTTCAGCTACCATTTCTTAAATGACACAGCATGTTTGAGGGGTTGAATTGCCTACTCCTGCTTTTGGTTGTTATTATGGGGATAAAGCAGGAAAGTGGAGTTATGATCTCATTGAATGGCTGAGAGGACTCAATGGACTGAATGGCCTACTTCTGTTCTGATGTCTTATGGATTGGGGAACTCATCCAACACCAGTTGTTGGATAAGGATTAAATCACAATTTCAAGGTTGTCAGCAAGAGAACTAGTGAGATGATGAGAAATGTGTTTGCTCAGAGAGTTGTTAGGACTTGGAATGAGCTGCTTGGGATAGTTTTGGAGGTGGAGTCTGTAGGAGGTTTCAAAGAGAGCTGAATATATAGCCATAGAGGGATAGAGTCATATAGCATGGAAACAAATCCTTTAGTCCAATCAGTCCATGCTGACCATAATCCCAAACTAAACTAGTCCCACTTGCCTGCTCCTGGCCTAGATCCCTCTAAACCTTTCCTATTCATGCTTCTATCCAAATATCTTTTAAACATTGTAATTTTACCCACATCTACCTCTTCCTCAGGAAGTTCATTCCACATGTGAACCACCCTCTGTGTAAAAAAAATGCCTCCCATGTCGTTTTGAAATCTCTCTCCTCTCACCTTAAAAATGTGCCCCCTAGTCTTGAAATCCTCTATCCTAGGGCAAAGACACCTACCATTAACTCTATCCATGCCCCTCATTATTTTATAAAATTCTATCTAGTCAACTCTCAACCTCCTCTGCTCCAGTGGAAAAAGTCCCAGTCTATCCAGCCTTTCTTTATAACTCAAACCTTCCATACCAGGAAACATCCTGGTAAATCTCTTCTAAACCCTTTCCGGCTTGATAATATCTGGGCAACCAGAACTGGACACGATGTTCCAGAAGAGGCCTCACCAATGTCCTGTATAGTCTCAACATGATATCCAAATTTGAAAGTGACGAAGTTAGAGGACTTTGGAGATAGGGCTGGAGAGTGGGACTAGCTGGGTAGCTCTTTCAGAAGTTGATGGGTCAAATGACCTCCTTCTATTCTGTAAAATTCTATATGTCTATGATTCTATAAGTCTTAATATGCTGATGAGTAGTATATGTCATCAGTGATACCCGTTAACGTGAGGGGTAATTGGAACTAGGGCTGAGCCAGTAGTGTTCTAAGAATGCTTTGTCCCACCCATTAATGTACATTGTATAAATAGTTAATATAAGGTGTTATTCATCAGTATGAGGACAGACTTGCCTTTTCTGCAACCTCAGTATGATCTCACTACACCAGTTACCTTCAAAATCAGGGTTCAAATTGCAGTGGAGGAGATCAATTTAATTATGTTAATGAGAATTCTGCCTCTCCATGCCA